GCCTGATACATTAACACGACGTTTCGGCCAGTAATACTGGTCCTTTTCAAGCGAATCCTATTGCTTGTGGCAACGAAGCGTCGTGTTAATGTAATTTAAAATAAAGTTGCCAGCCTTGGTTGATCTAGATCCGAGTTTTTTTTGGTTTTATAAGAGTTTTCTGAAATTTTACTAGTAAAATGTATGGTAAAATTTCAAAAAACTTCCATAAAGTTCCTCGAAATGCCGTGTTGTCCCACGATCACATGACTTTCGGGAGAAATTTTAAGAAGAAATTCTTTCCTCGTGTAATTTCAAACTCTGATTTATTCTTTAGTCAGCACGATTCACGCTCCTATTTCAGATTCCATGGTATGGGCATAATACATACGGCGCGGAAATATGTTAAGGAAGAGGTAGTACGAAAATTGCGCGACGAAATACTGGAGGAACGTAAACGTACAAATATGAACGCTTTTCTCAGTTTCCGTGATGACGCTCAGGTATATCTTGCCGCTGTATTCTTATCTGAATAAAACAAATGGCAATCAAATTGAATACGTTCTTCAAAAAGTGTTTCACTATGATTACAGATTAAAATCGACGCGGAACTGTATCAAAAATCACTGAACCTAAACAGCGTCGCTCTTTGTTTCCAAGGGTTTATCAAAGATAACTATGATATTATGCGACCGATTACAGCACCTGTTTATAGCAATCCAATCAATAATTTGAGTAAGTTTTTTTTTTTGAAAAAATTCGAGGCGAATAACGCATACGTTTTGTATCTAATGTTAATATAAAATGGCTAAAATAATCCTAATATTTTAACAGAAAGTGCATTAACTGGAGAACTTAAGATATGCAGAATTGACAAATACACTAGTAGTTCTGAAGGTGGTGAAGAAGTGTTCATGCTTGTGGAAAAAGTTTCAAAAAGTAAGTATGTCTCACTGATTTAGCATCGCATCTAAATGTGCTTCCTTTATAAACCACAAAGTACGTCGTATCTATTGATGAAAAAAATACGCATTATATTACAGAAAACATAAAGATAAAATTCTTCGAGGTCGACGACGACGAGTCCGAAATCTGGATCGATTACGGTCGCTTCTCTGAATTGGATGTCCATCATCAGTACGCCATGGTGTTTCGGTATGTATTACACGTGATTTAGCATACTTGAACGCCTTTTTCTTTTTTACACAGCACACATGACTGATTGGGATTGTATTTCTAGAACGCCACCATATAGAGATCGAAATATCACTTCACCGAGAGAAGTCTTTATACAACTGGAACGTCCGTCAGATTCAGCCTGTTCAGAACCAATCAAATTCATATATAAACCGAGTGATCGTGCGATAGGCGAGTGAAGTTAAATATTCTTAGTCCACGATCTATTACGCTTCTTCTTTGCATCTTTCTTTTTTGTTTACTTTTTTAGGTATGTATATTCTTTCAATATATCTTATAATTTTGCACAATTCTAGGTAGGAAGAGAACGCGAGCTTGTCATTCCAATAGCGCGGAATTGGTGCAAGCAACATTTAATGACAATACGCCAGTAGCGAATACACAACAGACAAATGTGCCTTCGGGCAACGACAGTACCGAAATATCTAAAGAACTAAAAAAGTTGTTAGATGATCGATGCTCTTCTAATGAGTTCCGCGAATTTTTCGACCATTTTAGCTCAGACGGTAAGTGTTGTTTGTGCGAGCGAAAAAGTTTAGCAATATATAAAAATTGTATGTTCATTTTCACATTAGATATTATGCTGTATGAGAAATTCATACAGCAAGGCGGCGAAAATAAGTTAACTTACGATGGTGCACCGAGTAAAAATGCAAGTATTAATTTTAATGTACACGTCTCACAAAACAAATTCATTACGGCAGTCTCTGTTGCTGTTGCATCAATGTTATATGTCAGTTAAACTTGAATTTTATGTCTTCACAGGACGACAATTCGTTTGCGAAAGATGTTATTATCAATATGACGCAGAGCATCAAAACGAAACCAAATGAAGCGAAAGATATTATTAAACAATCGCTTAATGATAGAACGACGTACGGAGACTCGCCATTGCACTGTGCGCTACGGTATGGACAAAAAGATAATGTCAAGCGAATCTTAATTCTTATGAGCACACTAAATACAGATGCTGAAGAATTAGTGAACATTCGAAACAGTTCTGGGAAAGTAAGCGTTTTCGATGTTATTATTTAATTGTATGTTATTGTATTCTATTTAATTGTAAAAATTTCAATGCATCACGTTACATTGTAGACTCCGTTGCATTATGCTGCTTCGCAAGATCAACCGCAAGTTACAAAAGCATTGCTCACGCTTGGCGCAGATCCAAATATAGCCGATATTTACGGACAAATGCCATTGCACAAAGCTGTAAAGTGTACGTATTAATTAAAAATATTTGTCGCGCTACAATATCGTCCACAAATCAAGATTAGGAAGTAAAAGATGGTACTATTCCTTTTATAATATTTGATGGAAACTAGGTTCAATTATATTTATGCATAAGCTGTGTTTCAATTTGACATTTTAAACAATCAAAAAAGGTTTAATAATGTCGAATCGATTACGATACAAAGGGAAGTTTATTAAAAAATTATGGACACAATTAATGAGACAACTACTTTAAGGGTACTTGAGATTGAACACTTTAAAACAAATGTGCTAAATTGATATTCGACAAAATAATTCGATTTAAAAGTAAGGACAAAAAGTCACAGTTACGTAACAAATAATACACAATAATCTTACAAATCGTATAAATTGACTTACATAGAACTACAATTGTAGCTCCAGAAGCGAAAGGAAGCATTGATATTCTAATAGCTCAAAAAGACGTCAATATCGAAGCAAATACGGATTTAGGATGGTCACCTTTGCAATTGGCTGCCAAAGAAGGCTTGTATTGTGCAGTGCGTTCTCTCGTGACAGCTGGCGCAGATGTAAATAGCGCTGACATGACCTACGGAAGAACTGCCTTGCATATAGCAGTCGAAGGAGGCCACAAAGACATTGTCAAGTTCCTGTTAGAAAACGTACGACCGAGTATTAGAAATGCGTCTTGTTTTTTTTCATGTAAAAAAATTGCGTTGTAACATTCTTAATTCTCCAAACAGACCAATATAGACGTAAACAAGAGGAACTTCAGCGGAAATACGGCGCTTCATAGCGCGGTAGTTATACCAGGGTCGAAAGCCAATGAGATATGTACTCTTCTAATGCAATACGGCGCTGATCCATACCTAAGGAATTACAATTGCGACTCATCTGTCGTACGTACGATTTGCTTATTGCCGATATTTTGGGTTGTCAGCGTTATCTAAATTCGATTGTTTTTATGATAGTTCGAGGGTGAACCGATGCAAATAAAAATAAAAGCTGAACATTCGGAAGACGAGAACACAATGGAAGAACACGTCGGACAATCATCCTTCGACTTGGCCTCAAACAAGCCAGACGTAAAACTTTACAAGATATTTCATCGTCTTATAGAGCGTGCGCGTGTTTGTTATTAAGAAAGATTATATGTTGTTGCAGATCTTGCAGCTCGTCTCTGGTCAAAATGACATGTCGCTAGATAACGCGATTAAGGAAGAACATATAGATGACACGCAAAAAGTTTGGATGGATGCGGAACAGGAGAAGCAATTAGCGGACATTCTGGACGAGACGAAAGGGTGGGGAAAATTGGCACAACACTTTGACTTCGAGTATTTACTGAATATCTTCGAGAACGGCTCAACCAATTCGACGTTGCTGTTGATAAATTTTATTGCTGTAAGATTCATCGAGTATTTTCCGCCACATTCTGCATTCTTTTCAACGTACATTCTCATCGAGATAAACCATCAAATTGTGTCTTTGTAGATACAAACCTGTACTTCCCTCGGCGAATTGCGAAATATATTGTGGGACTTGGGCCTAGAAGAGGCCGCGACGTACATGGATCAAGTTTTATCTATGAAACATGAGACGTGAGGCGCGTACTTTTAAATTAATCATAGGTGAATCGTCTTGTATATATAGTTTATTAATAAAATTATTACATTTAGACATCTTTCGCGTTAAAAAGATATCTTTTGAAGTTTTGTAATAATTATATTTACAAATGTGTATGGTACATGACGCAATCAAGCACCGAAAAGGACAAGATTGTTAATTCTCTGCTGTCTAAAAGATGTTGGCCTCTTTTATAGGTTCGGATTTTAAGAATCTTTCGAAATTTAGTTTGGATAAATCTATGGTGAGAAAGCGATCGTTAAGGATCAGCTCTGACATCGCACGTCCCACCGCGGGTGCCTTCTGGATACCGTGTCCGCTAAAACCAGTCGCTACAAAGAAATTGGTGTGGAAAGGATGTTTACCGATAATACCATTTTCATCGAAAGTATTGTATTCGTAATATCCAGCCCACGAAGATTTCACCTGGCAAAGACAGAATGTACACACACACATTATCAGAAGAAAGAAAACTAATGCAATTTCAACACATTAGCCTATTTAGCATTTCTACATTTGTTACAGAACCACAAATATAATCTTTAATACAATCGCATTATCGTGTTGCTCGACAATGGCAAGCGTACCTTCAAATTTTCAAACGCCGGTATTCTGTGAGCGAGCAAAGGCCACACTTTCTCGTTGAAAAACTCGTGATCGACATCCAAGTTCTCGACCGACGGCTCCTCGTTCGGTTCTGGTGATTTCCCGCAGATATAGTTACCTCCTAAACCATCTCGTCTGGAAGTCATTTCGTTTACATTATACAAAAGTTGTCACACAATTTTATTCGCTTACCTTGATTTATCGTAAAAGAGTATAAGTTTTGTTTCAAAAGTATTTAGGCTCATACCTGAAGTATGTGCCAGTGGGGTCAATTACTAAAGGCGTGTTCAAACCAGGTCCGTCGGGACAATGGAAACAATATACGTATCTCTTCCTGTAAAAGAAAACCATTCACTGATAACAAAGAGGCACGAAGTGACGCAATTTGAGATTTTTTCTTTTTTCGCCATTAATGCAATTACCTAGGTACAACTGGTAAAGGTACAGACAATAATCCTTCGCCCATTCCGATATCAGCCAACTCGGCTACGTCGCCGCTAAATGCGCCTGCAGCAATAACAGCTATGGAAAACTCTATTTTCTTAAGCTCGCCATCGTGTGTTTCTATCTGATACAAAACATATTTGCCTAGACATTAGATAGATATTCTACAATTACGAGTATTGTGTGCACGCGCACGTGCACCGACTGTGTTGCAAGTGTACTTACAACTGCAGTATTTAATCTTTCAGCAGGATTCATGTTTTCGTCTAAAGATCCTGGCACCGTCCTATACTGAAAAGCCTTGACCTCGGCATTGACGTATTGAGCACCCAAGTGAGTGGCCTTCTTCTTGAAGGCGCACAACAGGGACCACGGGTCGAACCATCCTTCCTTCTCCAAACCGAGACAACCCGCCGCGATCCCGTCGGTGTTTATCCAAGGGAACATGCTCTTCAGCTTCTCCGCGGTGAGAACAATATTCTTTGCCCCTAAAGAATTCTGTAGTTTAGAACTTTGTACTAAAGTCTCGGCGCCCGCCTCGGTCGCCAGTACCAGGTACCCGTAAGGGTGAAAGTTTACGTCGATGGGCTGGTCGCCGGGGACGCTCAAGTGCTCGTTGATATTTCGCAGAAATTCCGCGCCGTACAGCGACATGTGGATGTTCTCCTCGAGAGAGAACTGTTGGCGCAGGCCGCCCACCGAAAGAGTCGTGGACGCCTTAGTGTACTGAAAAGTCATATTCAATTACTATAACGACCAAATGCACAAATTATTGATCCAAACGGAAGGAGAGCATATCAATATTTTACCGTAGGATCTTTCTCAACTACAACAACATTAAATTCGTTCCTGTGGACTTTCTGCTTCAGCCAGTACGCTATCGAGCTGCCAATCGCGCCGCCGCCAATGATCAGCACGTCGCAGTGAGCGGGAATTACTTCGGGGTTCCACAGCGCTTCGAAGTCCGAGTATTCTCTGCTGGGCGACAGTAGGCGTTTCAACGATCTCCAATCTCGTTTTATACTCTTAAGCATTCTCTGCCCCGGAGTGCGAGTGTCGACGAACTCCCTGTAACTTTTTCCGCCGCCGTCGCCTTTCATCTCCGAACTCTGCAAATTTAATTGCCGACAATCAGCTGAAGTTCAGTTCAGTTCGCTTATCTCGAGTACCTCGATGGAAATATTTGCTCTTCTCTGCACTCAAAATTCAAAGGCGGATAAAGCGACGAGTCTCTCGCGAATAGAATTCGTCCGAAACCTCCTTTCAAAACTCACGCATTTTGCGTACTTATACATATTCGAGACGCGGAAACTAAATTTATTCAACAAAATTCACTCTCTATTTTCACAGAGACTCGTCACTCTATCTCGTTCACAAAACACTCGCAATCATTTAATTGCTTTACCGCGTTAAAGTACATCTACGAATTCTTACGATTACGTCGGGGTTCAAATTTTGCGCGCCACTCCATCACGTGTCGTCGACTGCGCTCCGTCGGTCAGGCAGAGTTCCTAACCTCAAAAATACCTCGCTTTCAATTATCTCTCGTTCGCGACAACGCGTGACAAGCTTCGTCGGTCCAGCTTTGCCGGCCCGCGCGTAAAAGTGTCCTCGCCGAGGTCCGCGACGAACACAAACTAAACGTCCAACTGTATCGATCCAGAGACGGACATGCGATGCCAATTGCGATCGCGACGGGGAAGCCTCGCGTCGCCCCGCGAGGAAGCGAAGACTCGACGGAACTGCCGAGGGCACTGTTCGTCACGAGCTCGACGGATCTCGGCGATCTCGGGATCCCCGATCGAAGGCGTTAGACGCTCCTAACCTCCGACCGTCTTGCCTCGCCTCGCGCGGAACTCACCTCCCACCTGGAGGAGTCCGCGAGCTGAACCGCCGAAGGCTGCTTCAGCAGGTCCGCGTGCCGCTGCACGCGCGTCAACAGTCGCAGCATCGCCGTCGGCCGAGCCCCGAGTGTTCCGGCGGAGAGATCGCTCCTTCAGCTCGCCCGTCCCCCGGGCAGCATCTACGACCGTTTACCGGCGTCACCGAGGCACGAGAACAAACGGAGTTGTCGGCGGTCCAAGTCACCGACTCGCGTTCCGATATTCTTTCCGCCCCGACGACACCGCGAACTACGGATAAAGAAAAATGAAATTACAAGTCTCTCGCCGAGGCTCGTCGATTATAAAAGCCGCGCGGTGACCCACGTGCGCATGCGTGCCCGGGACTCGCGGGAGTGACCCGGGACACGTGCTCTCGGGACTGATAAGGGAGCCTTTTTTCGCCCGCTGTTTACTATGGAGAAGTTTAATAGTATGTCAGAAAATGCACGAGTCTCGAGAGATAAATTTTCACGTACATACTGATTTTTCATTATTTATATACAATTTTCAATAATAATAGCACCTCTGTAATGTCTCTCGTAAGCAGTTAGAGCAACCAGTCCTTCCTCCTTGATTTGTTACAAAA